CCAGGATCATCCCCACGGGAGGCAGGAATCCCGGGAGCAATCCCGGACCGCCAGGGGCTGCTGGAGACAGCGGAGCATCCCTGGACCCGCCTCCTTCCCTCCCTCCCTCCTTCCCTCCGGCACTTCCCGGGCTCCCAGAGCTCCTCCGGGGCATCAGGAGCCCAAATCCCACCGGAGGGACACCCAGGGGGTAAAACCAGCGCCGGGAACATCCCGGGAATGCAGGAGCCTCACCCAGGGGGATGTGGAGCCGCTCCCCCGGGATCACTTCCCTCGGGATCGGCCGCTCCCGGGCTGTGCCCAGCAGGGTCCCGGGCACTGACAATTCCTGAGGCGACAATTCCTGCCGGAGCCGCTGGAGCTGCCGCCGCTGCTGCGCCAGGCTCAGCCGGTCCTGCCCGTTCCCGGGAAAAGGGACGGGAGCGGCCCTTGGCAAGGGGCCGGGAACAGCGGGGGAGGGCTGGGAAAGGGGCTTGGAACCAGGGAACAGGGCTGGGAAATGGGATTGGAACCAGCTGGGCTGGGAAAAGGGCTGGGAATGGGCTGGGAGGGAACAGGGATGAGAAAGGGGCTGGGAATGGGCTGGAACTGGGCTGGGAAAGGGGCTGGGAATGGGCTGGGAGGGAACAGGAATGGGAAAGGGGCTGGGAATGGGCTGGAATAAGGCTGGAAAAGGGGCTGGGAATGGGCTGGGAGGGAACTGGAAGGGGCTTGGAACCATCCAGGTGAGAGCAGGGCTGGGAAAGGGGCTTGGAACCAGGGAATAGGGCTGGAAATGGGATTGGCCCCAGCTGGGTGGGAGCAGGGCTGGGAAGCAAAGCAGCTCCATTCCCGCTGGGAAGAGCAGCCGAGCTCTTGGGAATCACCTGCTCCAGACGCTGCTCCTGCTCCCGGAGCTGCTCCAGCTGCTCCCGCCCCGCCCGGAGCCGCTCCCGCTGCTCCGCCTCCACATTCCGGGCTTCCCGAAGAGCCCGAGCCCCATCCCGGGACTGACGCTCCGAGAGCTGCCGGACACCGGACACCGGAACGGGGCGGGAATGGGGTGGGAATGAGGGGGAATGGGAATGGGATGGGGATGGGAATGGAATGGGAATGAGGTGGGAATGGGGGGGAATGGGATGGGGATGGGAATGGAAATGGGGTGGGAATGGG